TGTATATATTTTTTCTATCACATGATCTATTATAAAGAAATAATTTAATTATATTTATATTATTTGGCTTAAAAGAAAGAAACTAAAACATGAACTTATGTCTAAAGTATAAAAAACAATGTGAGGAAGTATTTATAAAATTCTAATCAATTGAAGAATAGCATATAAACATCAAAGATTGTATCTAAATTAATTACTTTATCATATTCTGGATTCAACTAAAAATATAACAGTAAAATTACAAATTAAAATTAATCATATTATATTAATTATTTAGACAAATTAATAATCTCTATAAAAGTCATCAAAATAAAATAGTTATTCATATTACTTTTCTGACATTTAATACAAAAAAAATTCCTGTAAATGAAAATTTCTAGAATTTATAACAGTCTACATAATTTTATTACATACCAAATAAAGTAAATGATCTAAATTTCAGCAGAATAAGGAAGTAAAGATCTAATAAGTAATTACTTTATTAAGTGGCTAAATTTTTAATTGGTTATATTTCCACTTTTTAAAGTAATTCCTTGAAATTTCTTGCTTTAGTAATTAAGTAGATTTATTAGCATAATATAAAATTCAATGTGAAAAACATGAATATAATAAGAATAATAGCTTTTAATATGGAACGTGAGAAAAAAAAATACTAAAACAATAGTTTTGAAATTACTTGTCTGGAAATAACACTTGGTTTCTCTTGGATAAAAAAATAATGAACAAATAATATTAAATGAATTTAATCAAACTTTAAAAAAAATTAATCTTTAATTTTTTAAAAAGTGAAATGATTAAAATAGCAATTCAGGAGTTTTCAATTTCAACCATTTTTTTTAGAAAAAATTTGCATTACATTAGCTATTGGAAGAAAATGCAAACATCCAAAAAAACAAATTAAAATAATATACGGGATAACTTATTAATGTACAAAAAAATCAATGGTGATGTAATATTCAAAAGTAGATATACTTAATATATATTCATATAGTGAACATAAAAATTATTATATCTAAAAACTCTTTATATCTATATTTTATAGAAATGATAGCTTTGTATAATGTTCATTTATTTTCTATATTTCTATCACATTGAGGACATTAATTTTAGCTAATATTTCTAGTCAAATCTTTCTCAGTTAACTTGACTACAATGATAAATTCCAATATAGTTCAGTTACAACCATATTTTAAAAATATAGTTTTTCACATTATGACATAGTAATCCAATAGTGATAAAATATAGTTTGTCACCTTACAGCAAAGCAATCCATTTTATGACATTACATTTGTGATGATGAACATTACAGCAATAACCAAAAGTAATAAGAAAATAAACTAAAATAGAGGAGGGGAAAAATACTTGTGAGTAAAATTTTAGTTTTGCAAATATAATATGTTAATGAATAAAATAAAGAAATTAATTTGTACAAATATATCATTGAGCATCTGTTTATATTCATCTTTAACAGACATGGCTTATTTTTTTCTTTCACATAGTTTAACATGCTAAACAGTTAAACTATGTGAAAGATTTGTATGCCTATTGGCTGATTGATAGATGAGTCGTCATCAGATTTATTAAAAAATATTTATTTTTCTTCTTTTCCAGTTCACAGAACATTTATAAACAGGGTTATAAGAGAGACACAATTTATATTTCTCTCATAATTGTTTTGTATATAGTATTGTCGTTTTTAAAATAGTATATCCAACTATTCTATGCTTTTAGAGTGCAATCTTCCTAATCTAACTGCTGTAAATGATTATTATTATATATCAAAATTATTAAAAAACTTTAATATAATAAATAACAACTATCATCATTGTCTAAATGTAATTTTAATAATAAATATTTTAAATTAAAGTTTTGTTTTATAATATGTATATATTTAAAATCAGAAATTTCAAGAATTTATTTGTAACAATAGAAAATCATAATAAAAAAACTATTGTGATTTTTTTGTTCTTATACATTAGTAGTTTTTGAAGTTTATCCATCTGTTATAATTTTTCATTAAAATATTTATAATAAAACAAAAATATTTCCATAAATATAATAATCAGGTAACTACTTTTATAAAGCATTCAATTGGAATCTATGCAATATCTTATTTCAAAGAATACTAAAACTTAAGAATAATTTATAAAATATAGATACTTGGGTAAAAAAAATAAAATAGATAAACAGTTAAATATTTATGAGTGTATCACAGAAATAATTTTTCAAAATGTAGTTTATCAATGTTTTCAAAATATTTTTATTTCATAAATTTAAAATATAAAATCTAAAATAATTGCTACATTGTTTTAATTATGAATTCAATAAAATATAGACCAAGAAATATGATATATGAAAGTCAGACTTACAATTTTCAATAAGTTTAGATGATATACCAGTCACAGGTACATTCTTTATTGATATATTGAGGTAATACTGTTTTATCCTTTGTACAGAATTCAAAATGTCCATCAAACTGTTATATCTTTATTGATATAGCAATACGATAGACATTTCAAATTCTATATAAAGCTTGAAATTCCAATTCATCATCAAACAAGTATTATATAAAAAATGACTTTCTGTTCAATAATTTTGCAATACATAAAAATATTATTTAATTATTTTTTATTTTTAGGACAACTGGAAAAGAAAAAATAAATTAAGATATCTTTTTTTATAACAAAATTAAAAATTAAATTCTAACTTTATAACAACTTACTCACAAAGTTAATTCTGTATCTGATTAATAAAGAATGTAGTATTTTTTTCAAACTTTACTTTCTGAATTTTATTATTTATACTAAATTTATTTAGATTATTTATAGAAATAACATATATTAAAAAAAAAATACAAACTCATTTATATACAAATGCAAGTAAAAATGTTTCTTTATTAGTTAAAATTTCAAACAGCTACAAAATCTAAAAACTTATAAAGAGATTATTAGAAAATATCTCTATACAAATCAAAAAACATTATACAATTATACACACATACAACTGCTTAATGAAGACAATCAACTATGATATATGAATATTTGTAAAGAAACATTTTCAACTTCTAGTGCAACTATTTTCAGTTCTAATGAATTTGTAAAGAACAAAGCTATATAGAAAATTAATTCCAAAATTTCCAATTACAACAGATAAGTTTCTAATGCAATGTCCATAAAATTCATGTATGAAGTTGCAAAAAATTTCAAACCAAGTAGTCAATCATGTTATTTAAAGCAATAATATACTATTATTCAATTCAAGTGAACCAAAAAAAACTGTTGTTTCATTTAAAAAATTTAATAACAAACAATTTTAATAAGGAGTTTAGTCAAAACTTCTAAGTGCTACAAATTAAACTAACACATTGCTTTTATTTAATAAACTTTTTTCTATTTAAAAATAATAGTCACTAATTTCCATTTTGGCTTTTTGCCAGATTCACCCAGATTACCTTAATGGAAGTTAAAATACAATATTTTAATCAAAATGGATTTAAGAAAATTTCTTTAGTTATGTTCTATACTGTAATGATTACAATTTAAAGTTTGTTGAAAATTTTGCAACATAAAAGTACACTGCATCATCTACGAGATATGAGAAATACATTTGGATGCATTATTAAAACCTTCACCAAGAAATAAAAAAGAACTAAGTTATACATTGATATATTAATCTGTAACTGAAAGACTCTTTTGTTAAAGTAGCTACTTGTTTTCGTTTTTTGTCAAACGAAATAATAAATTTTCAAAATCACATTGTTAGAGCCGAACAAAAACTTTTAAGGTTTATTTTTTGGTTCCTACAGTTATAATCCTACACATACTTTTGCTTATTAAAATTTATATATATATATATATATATATATATATAAAGTAAATATTTTACCAGATTAAAAATATTTAGAGTAACAGAAATTATAGCTTAACTGAGTCAATGTATTTTTAAGTTTTATGAATCACTAAGTTTTTAGAAAATATTACTTAACCATTTATGAAAATATAAAAACTTTTGTTCTTGGTCATTAAAAGTTAAAAGAATTACAGTTAAGTTATTAATGCAGTCTAAGAACTATTGGCAAGCTTCACTGGAAGGAGTCATTATAATTTTACAATAATTTGTTCTATGTAACTAATATAAAAAATTTGTAACTAAACATTACCAGTTATAGAAAAACTTAATTAGAATTTTCAACATTACAAATAATTAAAACAAATTCTAAAATAAATAAATAAATAAATTTTAATAATTTCTTTTGGAAAATGTCTTTTTATTTGAATCCAGCAATTTAAAATGAATATTTAATAATATTCAATTTAATTATATTTAATTATATATAGTANTATATTTAATATTTAATTAATAAAAACAAACTTAAATCTGAATAAATAAAATTTTATTGATTTTTTAATAATTGCTTCTATAATGACATCCTCATTTGACATAATAAATAATATGTTAATTATTTATATTTAATTGGCAAAAATGCAAAGCACGAATTTATAAATAAGTTAAAAGCTGTAATAACATGTCCTCTATTGAAATAATTAATGAAATATTTGAAATAAACTATTTTAATATTAGTTTATTTGTTTCTCTCAACAAAAGATTTTGTATAGATTATTCAATGTGCGTGATAGTCTGTGTAAATTTACAAAAGCAGCACATTGATTTGTCCTTGAGACAAACCGACACACGCAAATTTATGTGTAATTTCACTTAAGTGAAAGAGACAATCAAAATTATAAACAGAACGACGACCCTAACAAAAACACATGTGAATGGAAACAGAGATCAAAACCATACTGTAAAATTGCCATCTGCTGGAGAATTTTAAAACTAAAACACGCCACATTTAAACCGAGAAAAAACAATTTAAACTGCATAATTTAAGACTTTGGTCATAATTTAACAAAACATCACATATTAGTGACGGTGCGAATTACGACACATGTAGTAAAAAAGAAATTATCAGCAACTAAACCATTAAGAAAGTAACTTACCAGTCAGCTATAAGGACACATCGGTTAGTGGTGCCCTCTATAGACAGCCCTTGGTACTACACAAGTCGTCGACGTTCCTTCCGCAGGTTACTCCTCCTCCGGTACCATGACAACTGTCTGTAAAGGAGCACATGTAATAATCAATAATTGCATAGAATGATTGTTACATTTTATCATCTAAAACTAAAAAAATAAATAAACTCGAAAAAAAATCAATTTTTATATTTCTTACCGCTAACTTTTATATAAAGTTTCCATTTTTTAGTATCACTTCAATAATAACTAACGGTAACTCGTAAGAATTGTTACATATGTCTAACTTTTTTTACGATCAACTATACAGCTGAAGGAATGGATTTTTAGGTAATTACAGAGTTTTTATAATACTTTTATATATTTTATATATCTACGGTGTAGAGAGAAAAACAGGTGTAATAATTTTTCCATTTAAAATCCTCTAGAGTGCGGCATTATCACGTACAAACCGCATTGGGTTGCCACAGAATTGTAGAATGACTCATTCCTCCCGCATCGTTCCCTTTCTCAATATGAACTCTCCCATCTGATACATAAACTACGACAATTCGGTTTGGAGAGAAGATACTTGAATCCTGAGTCATTTTTATAACGATTTCTCCCTTACAATAACCATGTATTCATAACGAGCGCGTCAGGTTCTTTCTTTAACTCTACATTATAAAAAAAAAGGAAAAATAAAAAAAAATTCCTTAACCTTCCAGTAGTAAACTCACTTTTAGACACATGCGATTGGTTAATTTTAAATTTCATCATTCATCACCTCAGAAAGAATACGGTCATAAATTATTAAAGATTTATTATTCTGAAAGAAATTAAATTTAGACACTAATAACTTAAGAGCGAAATTTTAAAAGAGGTTCTAATTTTACGTTAAGTAGAAGCAGCCCAAGCAAGACAGGAAAAATAACATATATATATATTTATTTATTTATTCGTTTTTTTTAAATAACCACTTTCAGGAAATGGGGATGGGATTTTAATAAAAGACAACGATCGGATAGAAAGGAAAGAAAATTATTCATCAAGTAACAATAAGAGATGGCTTCTGGGCGAAATTCAAAAAGACTCAACAACTTTTCAGATGTAGTAAAGATAATTCTCTTATCAGTGAATGTTGTCATTTCTTTCACCCTCAAGTTAAAATCGACTCAACCAGGGAAAGACAGATAATGAAGAGGAGACACGCGATTGCCCCCACAACTTTCCTTCTCCATCTCCTCGGAGTACACAATCGATAAGCAGACAGTAGTAAATGTCAATGGATTGTTGATATCTTCACTCTATTTTTTATGAATAATCAATAATTATTGAACAAGTCTGGAAATATTTTCAATCCCGCCGAAAAAAAAATGCGCCAACCATATTACTATTTTGGTCACGCCTGGAAACTCGATAATATTTTGTCAGTACAGAAACCAAACGCACAAACACTGCATAAAACTGGGAGTTATGAGTTTTCGAAAGTAAACAGTTTTGATAATAAAAATTAATGCTTTCCAACAAACAAAATAACTCACTCTTAGTTATTAATCCATTTTAATCCTAAAAGATTCTCTTCGTGTAAATATTTTGTCAGTTTTAAAAGCGGGATTATAGATTTCTACTCCATATGCCTAATAATAATATTTCCATCTTGGTTGTATATTGAGGATTTCGTCATCTAGTAGTCTGATGGTCTCCAGCTACTATAATACGTTACAGATCATTACACGACTCGCCAAATTTTACGTTACACGGCTCCTGGTTCATTCTAGATAGCCAGATATTGATGTGGATGGAGTTACGGTATTTACAACATATACTATTCCGGTGTAATGACCTAAACGTTGATAAATAGTGTGTTTATGTGCAGTATTCTAGTATACAGTACACTATATTATATAAAATGTTAGTACATTTGCATAAATAGACAGTTAAAGTTTAATTTCTCTTAATAGAAACTAATAATAAAACGTGCTTCCGGTTCGAAAAGTCTTCGATATTTTCCTAAATCGCATCTTCTGCTAATTTGCTTTTAAAATAACCTTTTCTAGAATTAAAGTTTATAATATATTGTCTTCTGTTAAAAGGATTGCAAAAGGAAATAGCTGTCTCATTGTACAGCATCCGATTTGATAATCGAAGCGAGATAATCAAAAATGGTTACCTGCTTTAGTTAATGATTTCACCAATCGACTAAACAATCTCCAAGTTTTAAACTCGTTATTTAGCAATCGATTTTAAAGAAATCCGATGAAAAACCTCTATAAAAAAGATGGATTTTTTTTCAAGACTATACTCAAGCAGAACTGTTACAGAAGTTTCAAAGCCAAAAACTAGCATCCGATTATCCTCTGAAAAATTTTAGAGCGGAAAATGAAAATTGAAAATGATGAATCTTCAATCAAGATACCATTTACAATCATTTTCTACGAATTAAGCCACGGGATTACATGGATCGAATGCATTAAAATTGAGAGAACGTCATCTTGGAAACAAAGAGATTTTAAGTGTTTCCAGTAACGAAATTATATTTTCATTAGTGAACATGTTTCTAGTGTTTACCATGCTAAATTCGTGAAGGGAAGAATCGTAATTTTCTTTTATGTAATTCTACAACAATCATACAAAACCAAAATTAATATCGCATTATGAGTTTCTAAAAATAGGGCGCTTTGTTCTTGTTTCGTGAAACGTTAAAATCACATAAAGAGAAGAAAAACAGAACAAAAAAAAAATCTTTTTATTCGCCATTCTAATTTATACTTTTGTCAAAAGAAAAGTAACACGAAAAAAATTAGCCACTTTGTAGATTTAGATACACCATCATCATTTTGCCCATTTAATATATGATGGATTGTAATCGTAAAAACATTATCCAATACCATTATACTCCTTTTTTTCTTTGGATAATAAAGCGTTTTTACTTTTATCAATAAAAACAAATCAATTATTAATAAATAAAAAGGGAGGAAGAGGCTTACTCAAGGTCAAAGATGCATTTCCTACGACAGGTTCAATGGGATCAGCATAATTGTTCTAACAAGGGGAAAAAATTTACAACTGTTCCAAATTGTAAATTGAGGGTGGATACCAGACAGCATATACGTGGGTGGAATATGAGTCAGACAAGGTGTGAAACACCACCTGTCCGGTTTCCACTTACATCATTTTATTAAGTGTATTCGGCATATCGTTGAGACTATCCTATGATATTACTGTAGTTTGGATTCTTAAGAATTTTTTATGAATCATTAATATATATTATTTCTTTAAACATTTGCAATGAATATTAATAGGTTTGGTGTGTGTGTGTATATATATCATAAAAAGTTGATTATTTTCGAATTTTATGTCAAACCTTATCAGATGTGCCGTATATAGCCTATACAATACCATGTCTATGCACCATAAATGAATGGTATTTAAGCAATGAATTTATTAAAATTAATTTTCGATTTGCAAAATTTTGAAATCCTAAACCGAATATTTATTGAATATTTTGCAAAGATAACAGATGACTAACAATTATAATTAGTTCGTAAGTAAATTGTTACTTTGTCGGGTTTCCGAAACCTTAACAATAACCATGGCTTTTGGGAGCACAAATACGAGTAAAGGTCATACATTTACTTTAACAGCGAGATATATTTTATTCTGTAATATTTAATTATCTTCAGTAGCTAAGATCAAGGTAGATTAATATATCAGTTTAAGTAAATCCAAATTTGCTATATCAGTCAATCGAAAACTTTCCACTTTCGCATTAATAATCCACTAAAGTATAAAATTAATGAATTAATTTCCAAGTAGAATTATTAAAGTTCGATGAAGCGAAGCATATACTTAGCCTCTAGCTGTTCGTTAAAGTATGACTCATCCAATATTCGAAACATTGTCAATCAGTATACTGACTCACAATCTAATTAGTGCTTATCAAAGGACAGATCGCCTGCACGATTCCAAGAGTATTTAGTTTTGTAACATCTCTATAATAATTGAGACAAATAAGAAATGCTCAATAGGCAACTAGATATTTACGGTTTATTAAATAAATATTGCAAAAATTTACTCTCAGCTAGTGATCAATATCTATAAAACTATAGATAATGGTAAACTGTATCATTAAAATTCACAAATATTCATAACAGAATTTAAAATTTCAAAATCTTAATAACATATTTTCACAGTTTCATGATATATATCAAATATATACATATAAAAGTTCATATTGATTAAGTGAGGAATTTTATCGCAATTTGATATTAAAAGGAAATAAATTAACTATCTAAACAGTTTACAGGGAGAATTTATCTATAAAATGTACTGTACATTTAACTAACGATTTTCATTATAGTTTAAATACAAAGTGCTGTTGATTGTAATAATCCATACTATAAATTTTGATTAACATTAACAAGTTATCTCAAGAAAGCTGAGATTTGGATAACTCAATAACATTTTTAAGAAAATCTATTCATTAATTGCTTTATTTTACTCTAATTTTTAATGTTTACATATTAAAAAAAAAAAACTTCATAAATATTATCAGGATGGATTAGAAACACAAAATAGAAATAAAAATCAAAAGTTTTCTAAAGCATGATACTAATTGTTTTTTTTTTCTTCTAGAATTACAGAAAGTCTAAAAGTTTGACTTAAAAAAGAGAAAATTCAAATCTAGTTATTAAAAGTTTGTATTTCTCTTAATGTCTAAACATTAAATACAATGGAATTATATACACGTTTGGTGTGTGTGTATATATATATGTGAGAGCGGCGGATTAAAAAAAGCATCAAATCCTGGCTACATGCCAACTATCACGTGACATAAGGGGTTCGTGTGGTCCACCCTATCGAATTTCTTGTGCACAGCTTTAGTAAATGATGGCCCCCGGGTCGGACAGAAGGGTGTATTGACCGCACGATAGAGAAGCTAGACGAAATGGTTCGAAAACGTACTTCTTAACTTTTACGGAACCGTTACATTATCCTTTTAAAATTAATAAACTATTTATTTATTAGTGGAATAATCAATCTAACAATGAATGGGAGTGGCCAAATTATTTTCCTTTTTTTCACTTTTGCGTATCAGGTTA